CGCCGGGTCCAGGGTCTGCGGTGGGCGCGGATGCGGGCCGGCGGCCGACCCCTCCGGAGCATGCGGGTCGCGGAGCGGGTGGCCGGGGGGCGCGCGGGGCAGCCGGGGCCGACGCTCCTCGCCCCGGGCGCGGCCCCGCGGCCGCCGCCGCTGCTGCTGCTCCTGGCCGTACTGCTGGGCTGCGCGAGTGCGCAGTACTCCAGTGACCTGTGCAGCTGGAAGGGGAGGTGAGTCCGCGGCGCGATCCCGGCCCGGTGCCTCCGCCCCGCCCGGCCGCGGAACAAAAGAGCCCGCGTCCGGGTCCCGCGGGTGCCCTGGGCGTCCGGCCCGCGTACCTCGGCGTTGGCGCGGGCTCCTGGCTCCGGGCCGCGCGCGGTCCCTGTCCGGGGCGGCGGACACCTGCGCGCCGGCAAGCGCCCCCCCCCTCCCCGTGAAGGTCAGGCCGCCCTTGGCCGCCGCGCCCGCGGGTCCCGCGACCCCTCCCCCGCGCTGGCAGCTCAGCACTTTTTTCTTTAGCTGAAGTGCCACACGCAGAAAGGGGCGCGAGTCTCAGGTCGCCAGTGTGAGCGGGCGGGGTGCCGGGGAGTCGGGCGCCGAGCGCGCGGGTTCCGCTCTTCGCGGGCCGTTTTGTGCCTCGGACCTTGCCGCTTCGGCGTCTGTGGAGTGTGCTGCGCGGACGCGCTGAGGCTGCCCGCAGGCCCTGCTAGAGGACCCCATGAGGGGGCGCCCACCGCACCCCAGGCTGGTTTGATGGGCGGACTGGAGCCCTAACGACCCAGGCCGGGGCGGGGCAGCGCTGTCACGGGTGGTTTTGGTGCAGCCAGTTTTCCGAGAAGGGTGGGGGTGAGCCCGAAGGAGTTCTGCGTCAGCTGGGCATTGCTGGTCATCTTGGACTCACAGCACCCAGTTCTGAGAAACCACAGTGACCACATCCCCCCCCCCCCCGGGCTCCTGCCAAGGGGTGCGGGGTGGATGGAAAGAGGGAGCCTGGCTCCTGAGGTCTGGGCACTGCCCACCTCTCTGCGCAGAACCCCCCCTGCCTTTGAGGAGGGCAAGCTGATTGGGGCCGAGGCGGATGGAGCTCTGGGGGAGGTTTGTCCTCGGGAATGCTGGCGCCGGCACAGAGCTGGCCTGCAGCCCCTGACGCTGACGCCTCTGCTGGGGCTGCCCTCTCCCCTGCCACAGTAATTATGCTGGCTGCTCCCTACTCTGCTGGTGAATCAGCACTCAGCCCAAGGCCTTGGGGTGTCCTGCTCAGCAGATCAAAAACAAACGCAGTCCCTGTCCTGTGAGCCTGAGTTTCTAGGGAAGTCGCCCACCTTTCCAGGTTTCAGAGGGCTGTGCCTGTAAGGACCCCTTCCCCAAAGCTCAGGGGCAGCCTAGTGCCTCTCACCCCGTGTGCAGTGGCGGAGGTCTCCCCAGGGTGCCTGCACATCCTCCTGTCTGCCTGGAGGAGCAGGGATGCCCCTGTGCTCCTCCAGGTGACTGTCCAGGGCCCTCTCCCACAGTCAGAGTGGGCTGGGCGGAGGGCAGCAGGCAGCTGACCGGGCTCTGGGAGCTTGGGTGTGAGCTGCAGCACAGAGAAGGTTCTTTGCCTTGGAGTCTGGCCCCACGGAGCAGTACAGCTCTACCCCAGCTGACTCACTGTCGGGGGCTGCTTTGTTGCTAACTCCACAGCTTTATGATTTTACAAGCTGCTCTAAACACAGCCCTGGGTGGAGGGAGCCGAGATATGCCAGATTCCGATCCTGATAGGAAGGGAGTAGCTCTCTGACCCTGGCCACTCACATTTGAAGCACTAATGCTTGGAGGTGTTTCCAAGCAATCACGCTGGAGATTTTGCAATGCCTCTCCCTGTGGAAGGGCAGGACCAGCGCCCCATCTTTATGAGCTAGGGCCATAAAGATGGACCCTGAACTTTCCCACTGCCGTGAACCAGGTGCACGCAGTCACACCTGCACTGTCTCTTACGAGGCGAGGAAATGAGGCAAAACTTGTCAGCAGAGCCTTGGGGGTCACCCTTGAGCCGAAGCTCCTCCTGACTTCGGTAAACCAGAGACCATCATGTCCTGGTGGCTCTGGGCTCGCCTGGCTGTGAGTGTGAGTGGCATGTGAGCTGGCCCCATGCTGGTGCTGTTACCATCCTCATACCAACCCAGGATTCACCCTCCCTTCCGTGGAAGCACGCAGGCTTGTCCACCTGGGCAGTGATCATTACTGACTTTTTTAAAAAAGCGTTAATTTGGTTTAATTAATCTGTGATCCAATCAGCCTTTCAGTTCTATGAAGTAGACTAGAACCACAGCTCTTTGCATCCTGTAGCTTCGCCATAGCAATGCTTGTTAGTGCGTCATCTGCATCTTGTGAAGATGGTAAACTGTGATTAGTGGTAATCAGTAGAGATATGTTCTCATTTCCAGTTTTAGAAACTTTGCATAAATAGGTATGTTTTCAGGTTTGCTGTGGTGCTGGATATTGGAGGTGAGAGATTTGGGTACCGCTGTTCTGGAGGAACCAGTACACCCCAGGCTTTGACTTCACCGAAGACCTGTGAGTCCCAGGCTGAGGCCCTTGGTTTTCCCTTTCTCAGTGGTTGTCTTAACGGGGGTCTCGCACCTCACGTGGTATAGATTTTAACATGAATGCTCCTGTGCCAAGTGCCTGGTTGGATTTCTGTTGACCTTGATGTTCTAGGACCTGAGACGTTCAGCCACTGGTCCTGGGCAGGGTGTGGGCTCTTCTCTGGGCTGCCGAGGACATAAACAGGCTCCTTGTTTCTCAGAGGTCCACCTGAGTTTTGCTTCCTTTTGGAGGACACACGTGATTGCAGCTGGGGGCTGTGATGGTGGCTTCCTCTGCCTGGGGACCAGGGTCGGATGCCGACACCTAGCTCGAGGTGTGGGTAGGGAGAGGGCTGCCCCATTCCCCTCCCTGACAGGTGACTGCAGTGCTGTCAGACACGTGCGAGCCTCTGGTGTGGGTTCCTACCCTCCAGGCCTTCCAGGGGGGAAGTGAAAGCTCAGACTGGATGGTTGATACTGGAGAGAGAGGGTTGAGGATTGTGCCTGTTGGACGAGTGTCAGGTGCTCCTCGATGGGAAGGGGACAGGGCAGTCAGGTTTTGGATGTCGAGGGACACAGCTGATTACAGGCATGTTTGGCAGCCACTCACCCTTTAGTTTAATTTTCACCCAGCACTGTAATTATGCCCGTCCTGCCTAGGTATCAGGTGAGCTTGTGTGAGTTTTACTGCCTGTAATTTGTAAGTTTGTTCTGCGTGTGCGGCCCTGCCAACATCTGCGGCCAGGCTGGCTGGGGCTGGCTGCTTGTGACCCAGGGCCTTGTGGGGGTGGGGAGCAGGTCAAGGGGGTTCGTCCTCTGTGCTTCCCTCTGATGTGGTCTGCGGGGTGACTGAGCAGCCAGCCTGCAGCCAGCCTGATCTCAGGAGTGAGGTTTTGGGGCCCGGAACGTGAGTCACCGGCAATGAATGTGAACCATATGGTATACATTTTCTCCTCTGCAGAAAGTTTCTGGTAACTCACTCAGGCCGGGGCTCTGGTTGTTTATAGTGTTGCTTATTTCACATAAAAATCCGAAGAATGTGAGTGAACCTGAGATCTGATCAGAACCAAATTTCATGTAATAAAACACTTACCCAAAGTCACTAGTTTGCTTCCAGGCCCGCTGTGGTTATGACGTAACTGTTAGCGACAGGTTGGCATTTACATTAAAGTTTGAGCAGCAGAAACTTTTAATGTCTTTGGTGGTTTCCATTGTTTGAAAACAACTGTCTTTCTCAGGACCTGGCTCACCAGGAGTGAGCAAAGTATGAATAAACACATGCTGTGCATTTTTTCCTATTCAGAGCTTAGGAGGAGTGAGATCACCTTCTTAATTCAGGGTTCCCTTTGGCCCTTGTCCCTTGGCTGTGCCTCCCACCCCAGGGAGGATGCATCCTTCGTTCTTGTAGGGATCTTGCTTTAATGAGATTTGAATTGATTCTGAAGAATGCAGTCGGTACTGCAGGGATTTCAGGCTTGTAAATGAATGAAGAAACAAAACAAAAGGGTCAAATCATCACCTTAAGGGAGATTCAAATATTATGCCTAACTCACCACTGGGTGAGTTGGGTGTGAAGACTGTCCTCACCCGCTGCTGACAGTCCCAGCTTCCCAGGTGGGGCTCTGGGGCCTGTTGGTGTTTGTCCTACCTGGTTGCACCTGCAGTGCTCCTGTGCCCGGGGCCAGTGCCCATCCACATCTGTGGGCTCCTCACGTCCTGGGCCTCCTGGTTCAGTGTCCCGTGGAGCTTCCTTCGGGTTTGGAAACACCCAGCCCTCCTTTGGTTCTGACCGTTCCCAGAGCCTCCAGTCTCCCTGTTGGGAATGTGCTGAGACTCGAGTATTGAAGCAGGGGTCCAGGGTGTGGGGAGGCTTGCTGCGAGGATCTGTGGGCAGGAGGTGACCGTCACCGGGCCCCCCCAAGTAGGACCCCCCTTCGAGGGGGGCTGTGGGTGCCTGGGGCAGGCATTGCATGAGCACTCAGGCCGTTGCAGTGGAATCGGGCTCGTGGGCCTGCGGGTGTTGGGAGCCTGGGCTCTGGGCTCCGGCCAACCCTGTACCCTCTCCGCAGCGGGCTGACGCACGAGGCACACAGGAAGGAAGTGGAGCAGGTGTACCTGCGCTGCTCGGCCGGCTCTGTAGAGTGGATGTACCCGACTGGGGCTCTCATCGTGAACCTGCGGCCCAACACCTTCTCGCCTTCCCGACACCTGACTGTGTGCATCAAGCCCTTCAGGGACTCCTCGGGGGCGAATATTTATTTGGAAAAAACTGGAGAACTGAAACTGCTGGTGCGGGATGGAGACAGTGACCCTGGCCGGGTGCAGTGCTTTAGCCTGGAGCAGGGCGGCCTGTTCGTAGAGGCAACACCCCAGCAGGACATCAGCAGGAGGGCCACCGGCTTCCAGTACGAGCTGATGAGTGGGCGCCGGGCGCTGGACCTGCACGTGCTGACCGGTAGGTGGCCGGGGGTGGTGTGGGGCCACTGAGCTGTGGCTGCAGGGCCACTGTCTGGGGCACAGACCTCTCTGGGGCTCTCCTGCCCCTCCCCTGCTTGTCTGTGGCTTGGACGAGGCCTCTCTGCCATGCCACACTCGCCTGGGAATTTGGGGGGTAGATTGCAGCTTGAAGCTAGACCGCCTTTGAATTGTAGCCCTTTGCACCTACACCCCTTCAGGTAGACCCTGCAGTTGGCCTGTGGGCCCCATTAGGTCCTGGTGTGTCTGACCTGGCAGAACAGCTTGTCCTCAGGAAGTGTGCGTGGGACAGCACAGCCTCTTCCAAGGTGGCCCAGGGTCCTGGTCCCTGCAGATTGGATCATAATTCAAGTGAGAGGGGCCTTTATCCTTCAGACTGTCCCATGAACCGGCCTGAGTGTTTGGGGGTAGAGCTGAGGTGGATTCATCCCCTGAGCAGCAGAAGGCAGTGATGTCCCAGAACTTGGGGCTAAGCCCAGTTCTGGGGGTATCTTTTGGGTGAACATTCTCAGGAGAAGGTCACTTGGGGCCTCTTCGGAAGGTAGGCTGGCCTGGCTCTGCAGGACAGGGGCAGAGACCTTCGGGAGGAGGGTCCTGTGTGGAGAGGAGACCCGAGGTGAGCCAGGAAGTGGCCATGAGCAGGGCAGTGGCAGTTGGCCAGCTGGGGTTGCAGGAGGGGAGGAGCCCTTCCTAGGGACAGAGAGGTAGCCTCTGACCCAGCCGGTCCTCTTCTCAGAGTCTGATGATGTAGGAGCCCAGGTGAGGTTCTGGACAGAAGATCCCTTGAGGGTACATGGGCTGGGCAAGGCCTTTGACAGGCTAGGTGTCAGGGGCTTGGCTTTGGGTTTTCTTTACTCTATTTTTTGAGAGGAGCAAGTGCTTCCCTGCGTGGCAGGAGGCAGCAGAAGTGTCCCATGTCACCGTTGACAGTGTTGATCTCTAGAAAGCTCTGTGCTGTAAGCAAGCAGGGTCTGAGTGTTTGGGATACCTGGGCCAGTGGTCAAGGTGGATGGAGAGGTAGGGGAGGGATGCACCTGCCCTGAGGGCCTGGACATGAGCTCACAATGAAAACCACGATGGAGCATCCAAATAGCACTTTCAGTCCGACCGTAGTGATAGTCTTTCACCTGGAGGCAGAAAGCGCCAGGGCAGATGGAGAGACTTGAGAAGCACCCTTGTTCCACCACCACGTGCTGTCTGTGGCCTGGGCTTTGGTTCTCAGAGGCTGTGGGTGGGTCTGGCTTCACTCTGCATGCTGTGCGCTCACACCTATACAGCCAGGTGCCCTGAAAATCCAGGTGCTGCTTGTGAACTGGGAAGAATAACAGCGCCCCCAGTTCTGCCACTGCCCCCTGACCCTTTGTGCTCCTGCTTCCAGGCCAGGGCAGTGAGGCCTGTGGGGTCAGTTGAGCTGCCCAAGGCTTCTGTGGGGTCATGGAGGTGGTGGCCCTGGCATCTGTGCATCTCCAGGGCTGTGGGCCAGGCAGATGTCACACTGGTTCCATACCCAGGACTTTGATACACCTTGGAGGAAGTGCTTGGGTTCCCTTGTTATTCCACAGCGCACCTGACCTGGCCCTGTGCCTTGAGGCTACAGGAGTTCTAAGCACCTTGCAAGATGGTAGAGGCTCATCGGCAGCAGCACAGTCATGCAGGGACCATTAAACCTTGGGGTAGGACAGAGCCTTAGATGTGTTGGGGCTCTGGGAGCCCCCCCCCCCGAAACAGGCACAGATGCCTGTTCCCCACAGGGAGTGGCACCTGCAGGCCCCTTCCTAAAGGCCTTAGGCAGCAGAGATCGGGGAGGCTCAACTCCTTTCCCTAGGGTGTTAGGCTTTGATCAGGGAACTGGGGCTGCTAAGCCTTTAATGCCTGTGGAATGGGTACGTAATGTGGAATGTTGGTGCTCGCCATCTGGCAGCAGCCACATTGTCCTCCCCAGGGCAGCCGCTCCTGAGCTCTCTCTGGCCAGCACCAGGGTCTCCCTTGTCTCCTGTTCTGGCAGGAGTCCCAGCAATGCAGGCTGAGTGTGCACTGTGGCTTGAATGGTCATGCCAAGAGGTGAGCCGACAGGTTCTAGGCTGTGCCAACACAAGTGAACAGGTGCTGTGGGCTGAAGCCTGTCAGGCACATGTGCACGCTTGAGCCTGGCTCCCCTCGGAGCCAGGCCAGGAGGAGACCTGCCACGTTGGACAGTTCTGCATGACAGCAAGGTGCTGAGTCCATGTGTATGGCATAGTCGGCTTCCCAGACCTACAGGTAGTTGAGAAGACCAGAGCAGAGGGGCAGGCCGATCCTCTAGTGGTAAAGGCAGGAGCCAGGTGGGAGGTGACCCTGGCTCAGGGGATGGGGATTTGGTTGCCACCCAGTAGGATGCACTGTCCCATCCCTGCTGCTGGAGGGCCTTGCCTGGGCACTTGAGCAGTGCACACTCTGCCTGTTCCCTGAGAAATCTGGCGGGACACAAACGCATCCAGTGGCACACATCAGACTCTGGATGGATGTCTGGGACAAGGGGCGGGGGGGGGTGGGGGCTGTCTGGCCTGTGGCCAGGCCCAGCCACCAGGGAAGCGGTTATGACCAGTGGGCAGGGGCCATTGTGGGTCAGCAGGGATGGGGACCCTGTTTGGCTGCAGGGAACAGGCACAGCCAAGGCGGGCCCACAGATTCTACTCTGTTCTTCTGTTCTCAGCGTGACATGTCAGGTCCTCACGGCACAGCCCCCTGTGTGTTCTGGGCTTGGGGCTGGAGCTCCACGTGGGACCCCCTCATCAGATATCCAGGGAGGGTGCAGCAGCATTTCAGACACGTGGCGCAGGGAGAGGAGAGGACGCTGCCAGCTCCTGACTTTCCGCCCCATCCCCTTAGAACCTGCTCTGCTAGCTGAGCCAGAGCAACCAGCCCAGTTTGCTAGGCTGTGTGGGCCCAGCTGCAAGTCCCCTTGCAAGCCTCTGAGTTTGGGGGTGGTCTTGATGGGTGTGAGGGTCGGCACTGAAGCCTAGAACTGGAAAAGAAGCCAAGTTGCTTCCCAGAAGCAGGGCTTGGTTTTTTTCCCAGAACTTCCCATCTCTCCTGTGGCTTAGCTTGGGCTGCTGCAATGTCCTGGGATTTTCGTTTGTCTTCACCATCTCCCAGCTTTGGGGAGCAAGAGTGCGGCCTGGGAGAGGGAGGGCAGGTGAGGCAGCCTCGAAGGGGTCCTTGGGCCTTGGTGCTCCCCAGCTGGTGTGACCTCCTCGGCCTCCTGCTCCTCCTCCTCCTCCTCCTGCTCCTCCTGCTCCTCCTGCTCCTCCTCCTGCTCCTCCTCCT